ACATTGTTGCTGCACACACTCAAACATTCACCTCTCACACACACACACACACACAGAGCTAACGATGCTAACGCTGCTAGCTCTTTGTTGACTTCCGGTGGTGTCACACTGTAAAGTTCCGATAGAAACTGCATATTTCCGCCTTCTGAACAAACTATTGAAATGAAAACAGAATAGTAATTGATGCGAGTTGGCACTAAACTTAATTACTTGATTAAAAAAATCCTGTTGTATCTGATTTCAAATTTTAACAGCTTAGTTTATCTGCAGTTTGTTGATAAAAACTTGATACTAATTCTACAGTAGGAACATAGAGAGGACACTTTTCTTCCAACTGGGTCTTTATTTCTTTCTGATACTAGACATATTCAAAGAAAACATTTAACTATTCTAAAAATAATAATAATCAAATATTAGATGACCTGACTAAAACTTGTTGGATTTTTACCTGAATTTTTGAGCATGAACTTTGACCTTTCCAACTGGTGTTTTAGGACTACAGTTTAATGATGAACATCTGACTCCAACTTGTCAACTCCTAGTTTTAGCAAATTCCAAAGTCTGAGAAAGTTACAAGATTCACAAGATTACGAATTCTCTCGTGTCTGATAAAAATGAATTTTTGAATAAATCTTTTTCCACTGGACTGACAGGAGAATGGTCTTCCACCTGAATTCTCATGCAGTGTTTAAGTTTGTTTTCACAGCAACTTTTCTATAAGTTAAAATTAAAAGGCTTTTATTCTGTGTGAGTTGTCATGTGGTTTTTGAAATTTGTTCTATTACTGTATCTTTTTCCACAGGTCTCACATGAGAAAGTTTTCTCACCTGTGTGAATTATCTTGTGTCTGATTAAATTAAAGTTTCGATTAAAACCTTTTCCACAGGTTTCACATGAGAAAGGCTTCTCACCTGTGTGAGTTCTCATGTGTCTGATAAAATCAAATTTCAGATTAAAACTTTTTCCACAGGTCTCACATGAGAAAGGTTTCTCACCTGTGTGAGTTCTCATGTGTCTGATTAAAACAAAGTTTTGTTTAAAACTTTTTCCACAGGTCTGACATGAGAATGGTCTATCACCTGTGTGATTTCTCATGTGAACTTTTAAAATATATTTGTTTTTGAATTGTTTTCCACAAGTCATACACAATAAAGAGGTTGTTTGGTCTATCTTTATGTTTGGACGGTCCACATCATCACCATAACCTCCTCTTTGTAGATTTGTCTTATTTTGTTTCGGCTCTTCATCTCTGCAGGATCCAGCCTCTACATTCCTGCTTCTTTCTTGATCTTGGATCTCCACTTTAGGATAGTTTTGTGGAAGGAGTTGGTCCCAGGAGTTT